AGGAGTCTTGGTTGACCACAAACTTGACATGAGCCAACAGTGTGACGCGGCAGCTAAAAAAGCCAATGCAATTCTGGGCTGCATCAATAGGAGTATAGCATCTAGATCAAGGGAAGTAACAGTGCCACTGTATTCTGCTCTGGTCAGACCTCACCTGGAGTACTGTGTCCAGTTCTGGGCACCACAGTTCAAGAAGGACACTGACAGACTGGAACGTGTCCAGAGGAGGGCAACCAAAATGGTCAAAGGCCTGGAAACGATGCCTTATGAGGAACGGCTAAGGGAGCTGGGCATGTTTAGCCTGGAGAAGAGGAGGTTAAGGGGTGATATGATAGCCATGTTCAAATATATAAAAGGATGTCACATAGAGGAGGGAGAAAAGTTGTTTTCTGCTGCTCCAGAGAAGCGGACGCAGAGCAATGGATCCAAACTACAAGAAAGAAGATTCCACCTAAACATTAGGAAGAACTTCCTGACAGTAAGAGCTGTTCGACAGTGGAATTTGCTGTCAAGGAGTGTGGTGGAGTCTCCTTCTTTGGAGGTCTTTAAGCAGAGACTTGACAACCATATGTCAGGAGTGCTCTGATGGTGTTTCCTGCTTGGCAGGGGGTTGGACTCGATGGCCCTTGTGGTCTCTTCCAACTCTATGATTCTATGATTCTATGAATGTGCACAGTGGCTGGGTTTTATGTACATGAACCACCCGTTACCCCTAACATATAAAACTGAGAAGACGAAGACTTTTAATGGGATCCAAAATCTGCCTCAGCTGCCCTGCTACCCAGAAGGGGCGGTAGCTTAGCACACGTTATGCATGCAGAAGGAGGTGCCAGATTCAATCCCCAACATTTCCTGGATTTTTCTTCTTAAAAAAGCATCAGAAAGCAGGTGTTAGGACCCTGAAGACAACCAACAGTAGACAATACAGAGCTGGAAGGACAAATAATGTGACCTCACAGAAGGCAGTTTCCCATGTCCCTATCTGGCTAGTTGGGCTGCTAGTCTGACCATTTGAACCATTGCTCTCCACTCGTAAGCCACTTTATAATATGAACTCTATGGTATGGTTTTCTTTATAGGGCATTATGTTGTGTTAAAGCTAGCACCTAGTGATAAAACCTGCTATTCATTCAAGGGCGTGGACACCCCAAGGAACCAATAGTACTTTCCTCCTCTGGGTTGAGAGTCATACCTCTGAGCATCTTGCAGGTGACGAGGACCACGAGTCTGACTTCTTCTGCTGACTCAGCAACAGCATCATTTATCAGCAACTCCCAACTCCTTTGATGTCAGAGAGGAGTTACTCATGGTGCTACAAATCCAGGAGGGTGAAGAAGTCACTTGCTCAGGCTGCCAAAAAAGCCATCCTTGGAAGTTTGGTTCTGGCACTGATTTTTCTTAATAGACCCTTTCAGATACTAAATTGGGGGGGGGGAATCATTTGGGACATCTCCCATCTAGTCTGTTGCTCCCTTGCAGGATTAAACCTTTCACCTGTACTAATCATATGCATTTTAACTGCTTCCCTTCCACATTCCTATCTTCTTCTTTTACACCTATCCTGGACATGCAGTCTCATTTGTACTGCTGCATGAATGTTGCATAGTCCTAGATTAGATGTTGTTTTTGCCTAACAGTGATAGGCTTCTGGTGCTGTAGGTGGCCTTTGTATTACTGGAACTGTAATGGTTGAGAATATGTGAATGTGGGTGAATGGGTCAGGTGTTAAATTCACTGAGGTACAGATGTGTTAGCAGATGTTCATAATGAGTGTGCATAAGGCTTTTTGAGTGAATGGAATTCTACATCACAGAGTCTGATGTGTGATATATTGCATTATTAGCAATAACTTAAATACTTTCATTATTTATACCCTGCCCATCTGGCAGGGTATACTGAATTATTTTTCATGTCTTCCATACTGGATTTAATTTTTATTGTTTTACATGCTGTTGTTTGCTCCTTCTTTGTAACCCGCTCTGAAATCTTTTCTGATGAAAAACAGTCTATAAAGACTTTAAATTTTGCCAATAGCACAAGGGCCTGGGAAGTACAGTTCTTGCAATTCCCGTTACGTCTCTGGAGGCAGTTACTGTCTCATGCCTTTACATAACGAGAGAAAGGCTTGTGTTCTTTTTGCTTTTTATATAAGCATCTTATCACAATAAAATTCCACAGAGACACTAAAATTAAGAGAGAGAATATTACATAATGCCTGCCCCCATCTTTTCATCCCATATGTTATTTTAACTATGGTGCTTAGCCCTCTTCAGACTGCCAGCTTGCCCCCTAAATCTTTTCATCTTGCTCTGATCTAAGTCCTTACACTGTAAGAAAAAAAAAAAAAGGATTCAGAAAACAGATTAGGAGACAATGAGATCACCTGCTGTTCCAATTGGTCTCACTGTACTGCCTGAACCAGCACTGATTTATGTTTGCAAGGGATATGGCTTAGATAGCGCTGTTTTAGAATACAATGAATTTACAGAGCAATCCTAAGGAGACTGCAGATGCAGTGAATGATCTGCTGTTCTGCACCCCAAGGCAGAAGATAGGAATATCATTGTTTTGTCCCCAGGCTGGCACAGAAGAGGGTCCTTGATCAAGTTCCTCTCTAGGAAATGGCCTGGCTTAAGATCCAGTGGATCCATGCCTCACTTGGCTGTTCACATTTTTAGCAGAACTAGTAAAAAAATAGTTTGTTTCTCATCAAGGCCAAGGAGTGAAGGAGGGATTAGGGAAAAAATGTGTGGATAAGTTCAATCACATGAAAATTCCATCTATGTTGAATGCATGTTGTAAAAATGAGTCTTAATAAGTCCTGGGCTGTGCCTGCCTCATCCTCTGGCACGGCCACAAGAAGGAGTTCAGAAGTTTTTTTGGTTCTCTTACAGACAAGTTTGTAGGAACATCTGAAACCAGACAAATGGTAGACTCAATTGTAATTAGTGCAAACAGGCCAACTTCAGACCATAATTTACAAAGCTGGCCAGAGTTTAGGGGTAAGATGTAACACTAAACTGTGGCTCATCTAAAATGCAAGTAGAAACATCCAAACTTCTCTTTGCAGCCATGCTGTTGGATAGAGGAGATCCTGTGCCTCAATTTCACTACAGCTAACCCAAGCAACACTAAATCAGATGATGAAATATGGGGGCAGGGAGGGAGCAGGTGAAAGGACCAAAGGAAGAGAGAGATGAGGAAACTTCAGGTCCTGTGCCTTCTGTAAGGTACTGTACTGCAACATGGCACCCACCACCACGGGGTTCCAGAATTGCCTATGGCTTCTGCCGCCCCCTGCAAACAGGCCTTGAGCCAGCCTGACAAACTATGTGCACCCCCTGCATACTTATGATCCTGTGTGAGTGCAAAATCCTCTGCATTCAGCAGCTGTGAATTCAGGGATCTGTATATATAGCCCCAGCAAGATATGTTCCTGGCCTACTTACCAATATTCAGCTGCTATGCCACCTTGCAGGAACAGGAAGCCCAGCTCAGATACTCCTTTCATGCCACCAGCTAACCATGCATTAGGCAGGGGGCACTATAACTTTAAGTGTTGCTATTAGGCAATAAGACATGCCATTGCACTACATGAATGAAAAAACGAGGACAATCCAAGTGATGGATAATTTACAAATGTCCTGCAGGCAGACGACGGGATTTTGTGACATATGGCGAGTTTTCAAAGAACTAAATGAGATTTCAAAATGGCATTTCCTTGTGATTTCATTTAAGAGGGGGGATTTCCACCTTATGTGTTGCAAATGCTTATGTTACATGTCATATTATTGGACTGTTTATGGGAATAGCTTTTCACAGGTTTTCACCCCCTCCATTAAAGGCTGTCTCACATTTCTTATGAATGAGGGTGAAAGTATGGGTGATTATGTCAATTTTGACCTCGCTCAGTTTCTCATTTTTCCAATCTTAAATTTGCATGAGTTTGTGCTGTTTTGTTTTTTTAAAAAAACCCCAAAACAGTCCACATGAAAATTCATCAGCATTTCAGAGTGAATTTGTCCTATCATACACAATTTTTGCATACAAATTTGCCTGGAATTTCTTAACTTTAAACATATGTCAGATGTGTATGGGATTGCCTGCATTTCCTGGCATCATTCATTTATTTTAACAATTCATATGCTGCTTAATTACAGTCATCTATAATGATGAATGAGAAACTCAATTCAATGAAAATAAACACCAATTAAAACCATAAGATCAGAATTCAGTTAAAACACTTGTTGGAATAAAGTCTTTAATAGGAGCCAGGAGTTCAACAGGGAGAGGGGCCTGTCTGATCCCAACCTAAAGCGAGTTCCACAAGATTGGACCCCCAACACAGAATTCACAACTCCTAGTGGATACAAGCCATGCATCTGAGCAGCAGGATCTGCTAACTGTGGCTCCCCTGAAGTCCTCAGTCCTTGAGCTATTCTGGACCCAGATTGTTACAGGCCTTGTAAGAACCTTGAACATGACCTGGTAGCATATGGGAAGCCAGTGCAAGCTTTTGAGCACTGGAATTGCTTGTTGACAATAGTCAGTCCCCATCAGCAGTAGAGCTGCAGTGATTTTGCAACAGCAGGGGCTTCTGGACCAAGTCCAGGAATAGCTTCAAAGAGAGCAATCATCTTAAGGTTACCAAAGCATGAATCATTATGGCCAGACTACCACTGTCCCAAAACAGCTGTAATTGGTGTACCAGCCATAGCTGGTAAAACACCCCCCCCCGCCACTGAGGCTACCTGGACCTCCAATGACGAAGATGGATTCAGAAGCTTCCCCAAACTAACAACCTGTTATTTCAGAGTGAGTGCAACTCCACCCAGAACAGGCAACTGCTCAGTCTCCCATGTTCAGTACTTGTTGACTTGTCGTCTGAACATTCCCAGGCTAGTAACTCCTTGAGTTTCCTTATCATTGCTCTTCTTTTGTAAGTTATAAGGTAGCACAACCACAAAGCATCTGAGCTTGCAACACACTTACAGTCTTACCTTTTTATGGCTTTGTAGCAAATGATGAAAACTAGAAAGAGGAACACTAGTGTGGTACAGCATGCTGCAATAATTATAACTGGGCCTGGCCACCACGTCTCACGAGTAGGGCAACTTGGAACGGTAGGAGCTGGAAAAGATAATGTGGAAAAGACACACATTCAGTTGAGTCCTATCAAAAAGACCTTAACACTCTAGGAAGCTCCACTGGCCCAGAGTTTACTCCTGGGGACATGACCAAGGAATTTAGTTTACAACCTAAAGCACATTTTCCCTACTCTATTACCTAGACCTAGAGTGTGTTGTGGTTTCCTTCTGAATACCACAATACAGCAGCAGACAACAGATCTTTCTGCTACATTAGCTCACTGAAGCTTCCTTATAACAACTGTTGGTCCGCGCAGTTCAGTGATGTCTACATGGATAGGCAGCTGACCTCCAAGGATTTAGGTGTGAATCTTTGCCAGTCCTACTTGGAGATGCTAGGGACTGAACTCCAGGCCTTCCTCTTGCAAAAAGTCTTCTTCCACCCTATCTGGAGATGCTAAGGATTGGACCTTCCATAAATGAAGGGAGTCTTCTGTATGTAAAGTATCTTTCCCAGCTCTACCCAAAGATGCTGGGACCTTTCAGATGCAAAACTGATTCTCTACCACTGAGTTACACCTCAACCCCTAACTCTTAGACTCTGAGACAGAGGTCAGAAATGAAAATGGTTCAACAAGGTTGGCCGCCATCATTTCTTGGTGACTGACCATGAGATGCAGCATTAGGTTGGCTGAGATTGCCATAATGACACATCCAATTATAAACCCTATTAAGGAAGTTTTATCAAGCACAAATGGTACAGTCGTACTACTTTGCCACACTGGCTATTCTGGAGTAGTTTGATTCCTCCATATTCCAAGAAGACATAAAACATTGACCACAGCAGCCCAGCTGGGAATAGCGTAAGGGCTTTCAACCTCCCACAATTGTGACCAGACAAAGATGGCTATTCATTTCTCAGAAAATAAAAGCTATTCACTGAGCTCTTGCCAAAGATTTGCATACTGTGAAAGAATCAAAGCAGCCCTCAATGTTTCATAGTAGTACCACTCTGGGTGAAAACTCATATAATTCCTTTTCAGTGTGGGTTTAAAGCTTAAGGCAATGGAGACTTCATGTTTTACCAGAGCATCTCAGGCTTGCATTATTCACCGCATTTATATCCCACCCCTTCTCCAAGGAACTTAGGGCAATGTACTTCCCAAATAACCTCACAACATTCTCACAACTCTGTGAGACGTCTGGCTAGTCCAAAGTCAGCCAGTGATCTTCAAAGGGAAACCAAGATTTGATCCCCCATTTTCCGTGATCCAGGGCTCTGTCTACCAACCCACCCTAGCAGATTTGTGACCTTGCGCCAAACTGCAAGCACCCCACAACAAAGCCACATCATTTGTTTATTTCACAAAATTTGCAATAAAACCTCAACACGGTTTACAGAAAGAATAAAACTGCCAAAATATCAGTAAAAAACAGCCCTGAACAAAAAAACAGCTCCAGAGAACAATGCAGGTTCATAATTGGCTGATAATGATGGCATCGGCATCAAAGGACAAATAGCAAACTTTCCCCCCTATTTGGCTCCATAGTCATTGTAGATCTTAGAGCACATTGGGCTCAAGAGAAGACCATGGTGTAAAGAGAGTGGAGGCCAATTAAAATTTGTTTGGGAGAATGTTGGAAGCACTGAACACCAGGACACACAAGATCCCTTCTTGGGTCAGTCCAAAGGCCCAGAAGCTTCAGAGCTCTTTGTATATTTGTGGGTTGATCCCCATGCCTTCCTCTGGTGCTAATATGCCAAGGAACTGGCATATGGCTTTGTGCTCTTAAATAACGTATCTACACATGTGCTAGTTGGAAACACTGGAGGCTCAAGACTTTTTGTTGGCTAAGGAAGAGCAGTAATTAAACTCCTTCCCCAAGTCAAGGTGCACAGGGTTTCGTTCAACTAACTTTTAATCTGATCAGACCTACTGAAATGAATGGGCGTGGCTAACTTAGGTCCATGAATTTCAATGTTTCAACTCTGAGTAAAAGTTAGCTGAATACAACCCATGGTGTGTAAAGTGGGAAGAACACATCCATTTCCAATTCTGACCTGTGACTGTCACATGCAGTACTGTTTCCCTTCTCCTTCTGGCAAAATGTATGGCTGGTATCCATTGAACAAGAATTTATGTTTGTGCAATGGCATCTCCCCATTTCCACCCCAATGCCTGCCCTGAATTTGCTCTGGAGGATTTAGAAGAAGGGGAGCAGTGGGGTTGTACGCAACTAAGTCCTACTCAGAACTGAAATTAACAAACCTAAGCTAAACATGCTCATTGCCTTCAATGGGTCTATTATGTAAAGGACCAGCAATGCTGGTCTATTATGTAAAGGACCCTATTCTACAGGTTTTGCTGTCTGCTGTTATGGATTTCTAAGTAAACTATATTATTTCATGCCATTTGCTTCAAGGCAAAGGAAATCAAATGCATATTGGTGTGGGTGCGTGTCATCAATTACATATAATTTGTGGACTGACAGCAGTGAATACCAATAGTATTTGCTGGATTGATTTTTTACTCTGGATTTGGGACAATGAACAACACTGGAAATTTCCACTCTAGTTTCTCCTGAAATTCTCCAACATACCTATTAGTACAGTGATACCTCTGGTTAAGAACTTAATTCGTTCTGGAGGTCCATTCTTAACCTGAAACTGTTCTTAACCTGAAGCACCACTTTAGCTAATGGGGCCTCCCGCTCCCGCCGCACGATTTCTGTTCTCATCCTGAGGTAAAGTTCTTAACCCGAGGTACTATTTCTGAGTTAGCAGAGTCTGTAACCTGAAGCGTTTGTAACCCGAGGTACCACTGTATCCAAGTTACTTGGCCACTTGAGACAGAAAAGGAATTCTTTTCTTCGAGATTTTATTAGTATTTTTATTTCTTCTACTACTACTATGATTTTATTTATATGCGCTGAATTCCAAAGCAGGCTTCTGAACGTGGTTTACAATGTTATTTATCAGCAGTTTTCAAAGTAAGTTAAAAATACAAGGCCCCACCTAAATGTTCACAGTCTAAGAAAAAAGTTGAAGTGCTCCAACACTCACTCAGTGTTTGAAGAAAATATATATATATATATATATATATATATATATATATATATTTCAGATCTGGGCTTTCAAAATTTATACGTCTTATAAATATTCATGAATGCACTTCAGTGATTCTTTGGCATATCCAGAATGTCACCATATCAGCTTCGCTTCACAGTTCCTGACCCCCAGAAATGCATCTGGCAACGCTTGATCAATCACGAGCAACATGGAAAATTGCATCAAATCTTGGAGCAAGAGGAGATTCTGATAACAGCATGTGGTTATTAGACAGACGCGTCAGAATCTGAAATCCTTCACAGGCCACTGGACTAAAGATATGACTTGCAAAAGCTGAAATTGGACAGAATGGTTTAATTCTCTGCTGAATGGTAGGCAACCAGGGTGGGGAACAGCCAACTCGTTTTGTAGGAGTGGCAGTGTAGCGAATGTTGTATGTTTGGTATACTGCCTAAAAGAGAAAAAGTGAGCCAAGAAGAAATTTCCGTATTTGTAACTGATAAGTACTGTTTTATGCTCTCTAGCTAGAGAAGCCTCTTTCAGGATGATGCCAATCTTTCTGAAACACTGCAGAACCACCCAAGGCTCAAACTCCCTCAATTAAGTTTACTTCTCGCTACATCTAAAACCTGCTTTTTCAGTCCTAAATAAAATCCAGATGAAGTATGAAAGCTGTAATGGAGAGGAATGAATGTGGTAAATGATATTCCTTCTCATTCATTTTCATGAAATTCCTAGTGGAGTGTGCAGAACAAGAACTCTATTATTACAAAAGCATATATATATATATATACACACATACACACACACACATATATATGGGACGTGGGTGGTGCTGTGGGTTAAATCACAGAGCCTAGGACTTCAAACGTAGGTTTACCAAGCTAAATGTTCTCCAATCACAAAAATAAAGGCAGATTTGAATTCCTCACACACAAACATATTTTTCAAACCCCTCACTGAAGAAATTTGCAAAAATTAAGTCCCCCCACCCCAGAATGACACACCCTACTAACACAGGAGTAAAAGCACACAGTATGCACACAAAAGGTCCAGGGATCTTCCTGTGGTGTCACCAGGCAGGACTGGGGAGAACTCATGCCCTAAAACCCCAGGGACCCATTGCTCAGTCAGAGTAGATAAAACATTGGAAACCCTCTTCTGGGAAAAGTCAGATTCTGTTCCTTAATTTTATTGTTATATTTATGTGATTCTCAGGTGAGTGGCGGTAGGCAGGCAGAAGCCACTTTTTAAGCCAAATATATAGGAGAGGTGGAATACAGTGGTACCTCTAGTTAAGAACTTAATTTGTTCTGGAGGTCCGTTCTTAACCTGAAACTGTTCTTAACCTGAGGTACCACTTTAGCTAATGGGGCCTCCCGCTGCCATCGCGCTGCCACCGCACAATTTCTATTCTCATCCTGAAGCAAAGTTCTTAACCTGAGGTACTACTTCCGGGTTAGCAGAGTCTGTAACCTGAAGCGTTTGTAACCCAAGGTACCACTCTACTGAACTTAATCTGAGAACTTTTCAGATACTCATTATTGAACAAAGGCACTGAAGTACGTTGTTCATACATTCACTGGTAATACCCCAATTATAACTGAGCAGCAAGAGAGATGGAGGGAGGCTAAGAAGGCCACTGTTTTCACTTCAGTTAGTTGCCCCCCAGCCCCGCCAGGCCATCTGCCAGCAGCTGTCGTATGGGAGGAAATCCATGGGGAGTCCTTATGGGGATTGAACCTGCAACCTTGGCATTAATAGAACCACACTCTAACCAACTGAACTAAGCAGCTAAAGGTGTGGACAGTGGGGAAAATCCACACTAAAATGCTCTTCACTAGAACCTTTTTTCAAATAATAGTGATCACAAACTGATGTGAAAATGTGGAGAACAGACTGTAAGACTGGAGAAATGTGAAACCAAAACTGATATATTTGCCCATCTCTGCTTCTGAATAAATATGCCTAGG